GATTCTCAGCCTTGAAGCATGTCAGAATTCTCTGGGGATATTTTTAAATTATTGATGCTTGGATTCTTGACGCACCTCAGGTCAATTTGATGAGAATTTTTGTGGATAAGATCTGGGACCAGTATTTCTTTTAAATTCCCTAGTTAATTATGATACTTAAAACTAGAAAAATGTAGAAAAGGCAACTTCTTCCAAATACATAACACATGACATCTTGTACTCTCCAATTCATAGGTTCCCTGAATTCTCAAGTGTTGACTAAAGATTTGTACAGCTGAGTCACAAGAAAACACATCAGAAGCTCTGGGTTAATATAGAAATGAAAGTGATATAGAAATGAATGCTATATAGAAATGGTCTGTTCAGATTTGGATTTACAGTAGAAATCAGAGCTTGTAAGAGATACGGCTGTGACAATAAAAGAAATCACTATTTTATCATCAACACTAGTGATGGAGAGAGGGAAAAAGTGAGAAAGTTACAAAATGAAAACTAATTGGTAGCATTAGAGTTTTCAAAGAATAGCTGATACTTTCAAGTCTACTCTAAAGTGATTTGTGCATCCTCCATAATTTAATACCTTAATAATTTACTTAAAGGAGGTCAGATCACCATACCAATAAGGATTCCAGTTTATCAATAATTCCTAGAATTTTGTTGACTCCATAGATCTACATCATACTTTCTGGTATCTTAAAGACCAGGATTTTCTTTTTTAAATTTGACAACATGATTTATTATTCTTCTGGATAATTTTTAAGAGTATTAGGAACATAAGCAGATTTGCCAACTCCATACTCATAAGTAATGTGTGCATTTGCTAGCTATTAGCAGAGCTTATGCTGTGGAGTAAGCCCATCCAAAGAATTGTTGACAGGGAGTTGCTGAAGGTTTTGTGGCCAAAGTCAAATTCAACAACACTGTGTTTATTTGCTTTTTGCCAGTTGTTAGGCCATAACCCATCACAGTCTAACAATCCAAAAGACAGTGTTGCCAAATCATTGGCCAGTGTTCAAAAGGACTAACCCTTTTCTTGCAATGGAACTAACAATGCTCAATTATATCCAAGTGAAGCATACTTTCTCTTGGATCAGTGGCTTATGACAATTAAGGATTTCTTATGTTAAAAAAAAAGAAATGGATAATAGTATTGTTTTGAAGAGCACAAGGTTTTAGTAATTGGATACCAAAAGAGAGAAAATCATCCTGAGGAATTAAGTTCTCTATTCCATAATCTGTCTCTTAGGTTACTTGTCGGATGCCCAGTGCAGTGCTGCCATCTCTCACTCAGCACCTCAACTCCCAACACAGACAGCAGTGTTATTTCTGTCAGGTGTGGAGTGATTGTCTCTGTCTGCTGGTGGGATGCCTGGTACAATAATTACCTAACTTCACCCTCTAATCTTGTCCCCAAGGGGAAAGTTGACAACAGAAGTGGGAAGTATTGACAATTCATTTCCAGTTCTCTTATATTATCAGTGCTCTCATGCAAAGAACATGAATATTCATCTCAATATAGAGGCATATCTTATGCTTTTATTATTCTTTCTACTAGCTCAGATAAGGTCCTATACATTGCATATACATCCACTCTAAAGTTAGATGTAGAGCCACAGAAAAACAGGTTGAGAGGAGAGTCCTTCTACCTCCTGGGTGAGAGTGGTATGCAATCCTTAAGACTGATTCTCTGGTGCCAGCATTTCTTCCCCAATTCCCAACATTAGAAATGTGATCTAGCTCCTCCTGGCCTCTCGTAAGTCCTCCCTTTTATATAGTGAGTCCTTACTTATGTGTCCACTAATTCAAGTTTTGTGTCTGTTGGCTTTCTTGTACTCTTTTTGCAATCATGACTAATCTAAACTTGAAATGTTTCACAACATAATGCTATCATTAAGCTAGGACTAAAGTAAGTGACATCCTCACTCTCCAGAGTAGTTTAAATGATTTTTAAGAGTCCTGATTCATAAAAGATGTGAGCATACATGGAGTCCCACCCACCATTCCTATTCTCTTCCTCCATACCCTTCCTCTGTTAACCCCAACCCAAACCCTTCTGGAAATGGAGTTGTACACTAAGATTTTCTTCCTCTACCCTGGCCATATCTATCCATATCTTATAAACGTCACTCCTATGCAGTAATTGTGCTTCTGGTGAAGTACGGCATCTTTTAGGCCCATGAACAACCTTGGGTTATTTCCCCTTTCATTCAAAGCAGGTCATGAGAATGGATGGGGACTTGGTGAGAGAACATTATGTTTCACATACATGCCATACTACTTTTTCATCCAAGATATTAACATGCTACCCCCAAAGGTATATTTAAGAAGACTTCTGAGAAAAATTAGAAATCTCTTAAAATTTAGATTATCAAACCATTAAAAATGAAATTCAGGGTTTGATTCATTCTTTACTACTTTCTCAATTCATCCACATTTCATTCTAGTAGTCAATCAATTAATTACCCTTACTCTCCTTTGAATGACAACAGGGAGGAAACATCTTTTGCTCATTTGTTTATTCATTCAGTCAATGATTGAGAACTGTAAATAATCTTCTGATTTTGTAATTTCATCCTCTTTGGCTATTTTAACCAAATTCTGCTGCATATTTTCCTTGTACCTGGCTTTCCTAACATCTGGCAATTGTTGTTTGTAAGCATTCATTCTTAAGTAAGTCTACCCCATAATAATGATGATTTCCCTCTACTATAATATTCTCCATATTTTCCTTAATGACGTATTTCCTTCTTTACTTTAGAGTTCCTTTTGTTAAAGAAACACCTTGCCTGTTTCTAAGTATAAACACTTTACTGACTCCTTTGGTAGGATATCGACACATGAAATTACTTTTACAGTTTATTTAGACCTTTTAGAGAAAATTTCCTTTCCCAGGATAATATACCACATCAAGAAAGTATGCCATATGTACAGCTTGTGAAAAAGCTTCTAAGAGAGGATTTTTTTATGTAATGTATTATTTTTATGTCACATGTGATATTCTAATTTTTAATAGCATATAATAACTTTCTTTTATATTGCACAACTAGTGTTAGAATGGACAGTGCTTACCAAACTAACTTTATGATTTCTCCAGGTTAGCATTAAACTATGTTTCAGAGTATAAAATAAGTTTAACATTTTGTGTACAAAAATATCTGAATGTCATGATTTTAGAAAATTTTAACAAAATTACATTTGTGAAGGAACTCCTATTTTGCTTCTAACATTTATACATAGTGTTCATTTCCATTGAATTTTACAATTTTCATTATTTAATAAAAGAATTCAAGGGAATTATCCTCACATAGAATTATAGCGTTTGCTAACTCATTACTGCAATTTGACAGTGGTTCCAGCAGCTTATCTTACCATCTGATATTTGCTTTTGTCTCATTCTTTTTTGTGATAATTATATAAGAGTACTTGGGTTTCCTCACATGTATGTAGTATGTTCTGTGCTTTAGAATAGAATAGACAGAGTTGGAAAGTTCCTTGGAGATCATCTGTAAATATCCCACATGAAGATTCTAGAAGTTATACCAGACTCATTCACAGGCAGAATTTTACCTGGTTGTTACGAATTTCTACCTCCACTAGACTCTCCATTAGACTCCATTAACTATGATAAACTTCAGTAAATAAGTGATTTCTGTAAGTCAAATCCCTTTGCTCATATAAAACTTTATTTCCTTAGCTAGTCATTTCTTTAGTTAAACATCATCCAACCAGAAGAAAAATATACCTTTGCTAATAGTACCAATATAATAATTATAATAACTGCTAATCCTTTAAATTGCCTTAACACTCTGTATTCATTACAATTTAAAAGAACCTCTCATTTTCATAATGCAAATTTGTTGCTTGATTTGTTTAGAAGTCTAAAAGCCACTCAGTAAACAGACAGCAAAAGTTTTAAGTGCTCTTTGCAAGCCTGGCACTGTTCTAGGCATGTGTTTACACCATCATCCCCACACATTCTTTTACAACTGACTTTAACACAAATACTATAAAATATGTACCCTGAACATTGTCTTAGTGCCAGTAATGCAAGCAAAATTCATTTTCACTTAGATGTTTTAAATCTTTAATGTATATTTTGAAGTATGTATTTTGTTCCATTACATTTGATGATATTGAAATTGGCTATTAATCCTGTTAAATTAAAAACCAATCTCTTAAAATTTCAACATGGAAAGAGTAATTGATCCTAGGGGAAAATGTCTTTTCAACTGGACGTCATGGACTTAACATCTCTTCCAATTCCATTTTATTTCTTCACACTTATGCTTCTCTTAAGGCAAGATGAACTTGTGTGACATAAAAGTTTTGTTAGAGAAAATATTAAAAATAATATATTCTTCTGCCTAGGTATAGAATCAAGCAATGTAATACAAGTTCATGATGATAGGACTGAATAATATTGTAGACTCCCTTCTGTTCCTATGACTACACACAATTGTATAAGAAGCATTTTAAAATACAAATTAAGTATTTTGTATCATGAAATATTCTTTCAAAGGAAACCAAACTGATAAAAATAAATGAATTTTCTGTTTCTCATCAGAGTGATAAGTAGTTAAGTGAGTATTTACTGGGAAATGTGTGACATGTCCTAATGAGCATGGCTAGAAAATAACAAATCACATTTCATTGTGTACAATGTTATATATTGTGTCTTATTTGTGAGCATTTTGAAATTAGGACAGACATGCACACATATATATACATATATATATTCAGATTTGCTGAATATATGTATAAATATATATATTCAGATTTGCTTTTGTTATCAACTCAGGTATAATGCTGGTATATTTTCACCTGTTCCAGGAGATATTTTTAAGGACATAGTTCAACTATTCCAACTAGGAAATTAGAAGGTGGTATTTCACTCACTTCTTTTGAAAAGAAACTGAGAAAGCAAGGTCTCCTGAAAACTGATCCTGTTACAGATTGCTAAAGCTCATATGCATTGCTTTAAATAAAAGACATTTACTTACTGTAATTGTTCTTCATCTCTTGAGTCCCTCTTACTTTGCCTCGTTTATCAATCCTCAGATACCACTGTGTTCGACAGAAAAGTCTTCTCACTCTTATATCCCCTCCTTCCATGTAATCATAACTTCTTGTATGTCGCTCTGGGCTGGAACAGTTCACATTTGCAGCCATTTGCTCTGGAGTCATGTCATTGCAAGCTAAAGATATAGTGCCCACTAGACAGATAATGTGAAAGCATGATCTGTAGAGCAAAGTTGGCAGGATCCATGTCAGTATCCATTTGTGCATTATAGTGTAGTGCTCCAGGTGTTCATGAATAACATAATGAAAATTAAATCTTGAGTTGATGGTTACTCCTAGGTCATTGACCTCTTCCTATCTGAATTGGAGTTAGATTTAACAAAGAGGAGTTGCTCTTTCCAAATGTTAGACTTATCCTTTTAGTTCCTGAAAACAATATAGGATTTCTCTGCAAGTAATTTTGTTGATATATCCTTATAAAAACAGGTTGTAGCAAATTCAGTGGCTATGACGTTGTTTGCTATTTGGCTTCTGTTTGCAGTGAGGCATTCAGAATGGGGAAGGGAGGAGAGAAGGAAGAGAACAAATGCTATGTATAAATATCAGTGACTAAGTAGTATTAGAACATACAATGTCATTTACAGCATGAAGATACATTTAAAACAGTTAATAAAGAACCATAGAATCAACATCTTTACCATGCTGTGAATTTATTCTTAAAATATGAATTGGTACAGACAAATAAGAATATAACTGTCCATATATAAATATGTAAAGTCATATGAGAATAGTACCATTCATTCCAGTTGCTATTCTGTAAGAAACATCCTGCACTTAGAGCTATTTAATTACATTAAATTGTACCGTTACAATTGCAAAATATAAATGCTTTTCCTGGATTTCCTTATTATATGCTTTCACATTTATGATTAATTCATTATTTTCTCCTAAACTGCCCACATTTTCCAGTTAAATGTCAGGAGATCCCCTACAGAACCTCAGCTTTATCTTTATGTAAGTTCTACAGCATAATTTTATATCTACAAGGTTCAAAAATCTGCTAACTTATCCCTTCATTACTAAAACCAGAGAAGGAGAATAAACTTTTAGAAAACATTCAACATTGTTTTTAAAGAAAAATAACAGTAACTTACTTGTTCTGTTTATAACAGCTGGATACACAAGAATTCCATGTCTGTTGTCTGCCTTGTGCAACTTGAGCCTCTCTACTGTAGCTACAAACTATTTCTCAGCTGAGAATTTCTCCAGCAGAATCATAATTGTTTCCATAAATCAACAGGCAAGAGGATTTTCTCTCTGTGTGTGAGCCCGTGTGTGCTTGTGTGTGTGTGTGTGTGTGTGTGTGTGGAGCCTTTTATTCAGGGCTTTTCGATAAATACCTTTGCTGACCTCATTGGAAGCAATTAAAACTTAACCAGTGAGCTGTTAGTTGAATACAACAGTGAGAATAAAAGGAGGCTTGTATAGTATTCAGTGGTCATGAGAGGGAGCTCTGAACATGGTTTATGCTTAAATCTACAAATGGGTACCTACTTTGAAGAAACAGAGCTCTGATTCTGACACGGTTGAAAGACAAAAAGGGTAATTTTTGAACCTTATTTGCCACAGAGGAGTTGAATAGATTAAAAAAACATTGAAAACTGCACACATATTATACATATGTCGTATTTTGAAAGTTAGAGATTCTTGTCCATAGCTTTTTGCTGAATGCATTTCTTCAATTGCTCGTGTGTACTCAAAATGCAAGAACAAAGCTATTACATATTAACCCACGATTTAGCAGTTTCAAACACTATAGAGCCAAGCTAAATGTGTATCTCTTTGTGCAGATAATACACCATTGCATATGAGTGTGGTTTGTGTATCTTATATTCTTAGGTTGAAAGTAAGAAGTCTTAGAGTCTTATTTGAGTTAAGCCAGTAATGACCGGTATGACCTTAGCCAAGTCATTTGATGTTTCCTGACTTATGACTGCTGTATTTATAAAAATTGTCTATTAGTATAAAAGAGTCTTTCATGCCTTGTAGTTTTAAAATGCCACAACTATGGCTTATACTACATATTTTTTTAATGTAATATTATAAAAAGTTTAAATATTTTACATTAGTTACAAAGACTTTACTTTGAACTCAGCAAAAGCATCGGGACAATAGATAAATGTAAATTTAGGGATGGAATTGTAAAATCTGTAGCTAATGTAAATGTGAGAAACCTATTGTGTTTTTCTGTTCTATGTATACATATAGTAGTGTTCGAGTATTTCATGTGATGTTGAGGATTGTTTTGTCAGTCTAAATCGGTATTTAGGAACACATAATATTTCTTTTTCCCATATTAGAAATACGGGAATAACATACATATACATATACGTATACATTTCACACACACACACACACACACACACACACACACACACACACACACACACATTCTGTACTTGAAAAGCAGAACTTTACCACTAGGTGGTGCATGTAGACCAACCAGAAAAAGCAAATTAAGTCTACTCAATTATGAGTTTCCTTTGAATCGATGCTTTTAGGCCACCAAATCAAGACCACAGAATACTTTAAATGTACCCAATTACTTTTTATGTATCGAATTATACAAAGTTCTGAGTTTGTTACAGTTTATTAAAGGATTTTTCTTTGATTGCATCTGTTGAAAGCTAGATTATTCAAAACATTGTATCATGTATTTCTCTAAAAGAAGGAAAAAAAAAAGAAAGAGAATATGATGTTATTGTGTTCTGAATCATACCCTGGTTGCTTTAGAGACAACAATAATGAGCAGGGTCAGAATTCCCAGGAATTGGATATTCTTTCTGAAGAAATAAAATTATTAAGTTATTTTACCCTGTAAAGATATTCAGGAGTGACTAAATCCATCCGTTTCACATGAACGCTACGGATTTTAAACTAAAAAATCGACTGATTAGAAACTAATATTTGCTAAACAAATGCTTATGACTGAAATAAAAATAGCCATTTGTTAGCAATGAATGTTTAGTGTCTCCTTAATCTAATATATATAAGATTATAAAATTAGAAATAAAGAATAAAATTGTGATCTATGTATGTTAAATGCGTTTGATGTTATAATACTTGATGATTTGGAAATGTGTATATGACTGGTAATTTTAGTTTACTTTTCAAAAGATTGATTGAAAAAAATTACAGAGTGACGGGGAAGAGAAAGAGAAATCTTGCATCTGCTAGTTCATTCCTCACATGCCTACAGTAGCCAGGACTGGGCCAGTCTAAAGCCAGGAGCCAGGAGCCAGATACTTCATCCAGATCTCCCATGCTGGTGGCATCTTCTGCTGCTTTTCCCAGACTGTAATCAGGGAGCTGCATCAGAAGTAGAGAAATAGGGCATGAACCAAAGCCCATACAGGATTCCACCATTGTAGACAGCAGTTTTACCCCCTACACCCAAATACCAGTGCCAATTCTAGTAATTTAATAACAGATTAATTTCAACAAGAGAACATCAGTTGTTTAAGTTGTTTCATTATTAATTCTCTAAATGGAGAATAAGTCGTTCGCTGGACTCATGGATTGTTTCTCTAGTATCACAGGTGTAAGGAAGATTCTTAATTAGATTTCACTTATCCTCCTATTCTACCACCTGATAGGATGTGCCGAACTGGGGAAGGCTTCAGCACCCACTGGCACTCACGAGAACCAGAGTGGGTGTGGGGCAGGCTGAGTTAGGTTATGGTACCAGTGATCCACATGAGAGTCTCAAGGTGGGCCAAGCAAGGCTGGGCTGTAGCACCCACCCGTAAAAGCCGGAATGGGTATGGGCTGGCCTGACAAGGTTGCTGTGCATGTCAGGGACTAGAGAGAGAGAGGTGGGCCAAGTCAGGCAGAGGCAAACACACTTTGTCTTTGGGTTTTGATACTGTAAGACAAAAGATTCTCCTGTTACTAAAAATTGGTTCTTTATTGTCTTTCAGAAGTAGAATTAGCACTAGCAATTCTCCAGAGAGAAAGAATGAGTGATATTTTTTCTGTTTGATTTGGGAATGGAATAGATGAAAGATATACAGATAATATATACAAACAGAATAAACATGTATATATTTTTAAGGTTTATCATCCTTATTTGATAGGCAGAGTAAGAGAGAGAGAGAGAGAGAGAGAGAGAGAGAGAAGCAAGACCTTGTATCTCCTGGTTCACTCCCCAGATGGCTGCAACTTTCAACCAGGAATCTTCAGTAGCTGTGAAAAACTCCTTGCCTTTTCAGCAGCTGCTTAATAGTCCAGTGAATGAGTATCTAAGAATATATTTAACTAGCCCCTATTGATTAATATTTTATAATATTTTCTATTATAAAATGCAACAAAGAATAAATTAGAATGTCATTTATACTATACATATATAAATATATTTATATATATATGATGAATTTTAAGAATAGCCTGGCTCAGGTGGTACACCTGTATATGTTTATAATTATTATTTTCATGAATATTGACAACTTACCCTCCACAGAAATTTTTCTGGTTTTGGAGTCCCAGAAGCCTGTTTATCCAGCAGAGCATATTGTCAAACTTTGGGTTCTGCTAATTAGACAAATGAAAATGGCATTACACTATTGTTATTTAGTTTGTTTCTCATGAAACAAAATGATTATCATGGGCAAGTACTATAAAGAAAGGTACAAGGGATTCCTCATATATTATATTTCAGTAGGGAAGGTATTCCTGCAACAATGTGGAGCTGCACTTTAAAATGTGAATGATGCTTAACATTGAAAAGTGATACCTGGGAATGCACATAAACCCTGTGCCATCTGGCCAGCATTGTTGTATAATGGGTTAAGCTGCTTCCTGCAATACTAGTATGCTATCTGGGTGCTAGTTTGAGTCCTAGCTGCTCCACTTCCAATCCAGCTCCATACTAATGTGTCTGGGAAAGCAGCAAAGATGGCACAAGTCCTTTGGCCCCCGCACTCGTGTAGGAGACCCAGAGTTCCTGGCTCCTGGCTTTGGACTAGCCCAACTCTGGCCATTGGAGCCATTTATGGATGAAACAATGGGTGGAAGAGCTGACTTTCACTCTCTCTCTCTCTCTCTCTCTCTCTCTCTCACTTTCAAATAAATAAGATCATTTTTAAAAATTGTACTGGAATACAACATGCCGTTTCAGCCATCATTTCCCATTTAAACTGAATAAAAGGGATTATGTTACATGGAGAGGTGGGATCACGTAGGCATGTTAAGGATTCAGCCTTCATCCTAAGCACAACAGAAAGCTATTAGTTTGTGAAATGGAACAATGACATGATCACAACTGCACTGCCTATCTCTGTTCTAGTAAACACCTAATTTTCAATGACAACATGAATTTATGAAACCTTAGATCTTGTTCATTTGTTCCTATATTTTCTGTTTTTCAGTTTTTGAAAAGATAGCTAATTGTCATTGGAACATTTGGAGGAAAATGTCATACATATTTTCTGATCTGGATAAAACTTGAATTTAATGATTGTGCTCAGTGCCTTGAAAAGAATGGAGACCTAAGACTGCTTCTGAGAAGCATTCTAGTGAAAATGTGGTCCCAGGGTCTGAGGAACATAGAGAAATTCTGTGGACCCCGTATTTGCAAAGCTACCACCACGGCACATAGAAGAGGCAGCAAGACCTCAGAAAAGAAGGACTACCTCATGTATCTAAACATATGGGCCTGTAGCTGTCGGACCTTAAAGGTTCTCATATTTTAAAAGAAATATGAAACATTACAAAGGCCAGATATCAAGAAATTGTGTAAGTGGAGTCAGATTCTCCAGAAATAACCTGGGTATGCCAATAACTCCAAGAACAGAAGCACTTCCCCTGCCACTGTATAAAACTCGTTGAATTTGACCCCATTCTGAAGCAGAAGGGGAGAAATCCAAGAATAACTGAGGTTAGGTGTTCTACCAGCCTGGGAGTATAGAAAACCCAAAATTGCACTGTTGATTTACATTTTTAAATACAAACTTACGCTATTCCTTGAGTATCTGAAACTTTGGCCCAAGATTTATTTCTACTATATTGCCTCAGTTATCCTCACACAACAGATTTGTCCTCATCTGTTCTACTGTCACTCTCATTCCATAAATTCAACCTCCAACTCTATTTCATTGCCATAACAACCATTCAGACTTGTTTCCTTGATTCATTCTTTCAGCAAATATTTATCAAAGAGCTACTTTGTGCCAGATGTTATGCTAGCCTTGTGGAGATACAATGGCAATTATTGGGGAAGTGATCTCTGCTCTGCAGAGTATGAGTTACAGGAGAAGATAAACATTAAAAAATCCACCTAAGTCTGGGGGTGGATG